TTCCGTGGGCTGTAGCTTGGCTCACTCAGTCTCTTGTCGGTCCCTCCGGCGCTGGAAATGCCACGGCCCAGGCCCAGCCCAGTGGGCCACAGGTGCGAGCTGCCGGTGCTTTTCTGGTGTTCAGTCTAGACGAGGTTTAAACAGGTCTAAAGAAAAGAAAAAAAGAGTCTAGGGAACTTCTTTGCTTCAGCTAGCTAAAAATAACTAAAAGTCAAGGAGAGATCTGTCCCGCTGCCTGTCCATCTGCAGACAACACAGTCCAGGGGCAGGAATGTGGAGGAGTGAGTGCAGTTTTCTGTAAACAAAACTTTGCACTTTTTCTCTCTTCCCTTTACTCTCAGAACAAGTCTTAAAGGTGCAAAATTTATTATTCAGTATAAACAGAACAGACGATTGGGGATAAAAGCATCATATAGTCAACCCAGGATGCAGGAGGAGTGGGGAAAGTTTGTAATATTTCTTCTAAAGCTTGCCCATATATGTTCAGAGATTCAGTAAATCCCTGTGGTAATTTTGTCCATCTTAGTTGCTGCTTTCTCCCAGTTTTGGATCTTCCCATTCAAAGGCAAAAATATTTCGGCTTTCCTTTGCTAATGGTCAAGTCCAAAAAGCATCTTTAAGATCCACCACACTAAACCACTGATACTGGGGTGGAACTTTACTTAAAAGAGTACAGGGATTGGGTACCACTGGGTAATGGGTCCAAGGTCTCTTGTTAACTTCCCTTAAGTCTTGTACTAATCCATAGTTCCCATCAGGCTTCTTTACTGGGAGAATGGGGGTATTATGAGGAGACATACAAGGTTCTAATGTCCCATCCTTTATCAATTCTTCTATTACTGGCTTTAAGCCTTCTCTTCCTTTTAAGGATATAGTGTACTGATGCACACATATGGGACATTCTTCTCTCTCAGTTGTGACCCTTATGGGGTCAAAATTCAGCCCTCCCAATTTCCTTCCCCAGCCCAAACCTCTTTGTTAATCTTTTCCTCATCTTCTTGGCCCAGCTTTAACACTTTAACTGTCATCTTCCCTTCTTCTGGTATGACCCCAATTCCTAGTTGCACCTGCAATTCTCTCCCCAATAAGTTGCTACCTGGTTGTAGTGGTTTGGATTTGTCAGTTTAAGATTTTCTTAATTGTAAGATGTCCGGGTTTAATGTACTAAAGAGTGTGGTAGATTTTGGTGCTGGTTAATCACTAATGCACTCATTTCCTGCTGTGAGATAGGATTAGGAGAAAGGTAAAGCAGGCTTAAAACTTTAAAAGGGTATAAAGAACATTTTATTAAAAGAAACTAAATGAAAAAAAATAGTAAGAATCAAAACAAACCCTTTAGAACACTTCTCCCCCCACAACCTTTTCTTTCCCACTGATAATGTAAAGAAACAAAGCTTAAAATTCTAGTCAGTTTACTACCTCTAAAACAGTCTTTTTTTAGTTTACTTAGAGAGAGAAGTCCCTCTTGTTAAGGTTATGGAGACTTCTCTACAAAAGGAAAAATCCAGTTCTCTTGTGGTTCTCAGTTTCGTCACAAATAACAGTTGCCCGGGGAACTCTACTGTTGTGAAGTCCTTCTCATTGTCACAAGCTTTCCCACAGCTTGTTGATGGGTTATGTTGACTTATGGGGTATTGTTTTAAGGATGAGCTGTTCAAAGGTGAAAGTTCTCATTATCTAACTCTAAAATCATCTTTATCACTGGGAACAGAAATCTTCTCCTGGTGGCACCGGACTTATTAATTTGAACACTTTTATCTCCCCATAGTTTCACGCGTTATAAGGAAAAAGTCCTTTCCCTATAGTTTATAAGAGGATTTCAGCTCTAAAATCAAGGCATCTCCTTCATCCCTCCCATCTGGGACTTAACTTCTTCCTCACTGACCATGATGTTTTCATGTTGTTCCTTTACATGCTTGCATCTTGTTCTTTTCTCTCACTTGAGGGAGGATTGAAGCACTGAAAGGGTTAACATGTTGCCTGGGCCCTTCAAATACTCACCTGATCTACTGATAACTTGTAGTGGGAGCTTCGGCTGGGCTGTGTTAGGATCGTCCTCATGGTTGTTTTTTTGTTTTCTCTGTGTTCAATTCCAGCCGAAGGGCCACTCTGCACAGACTGCAGGGGTTTCTGGTCTCAGTCACGCTGGGGGGAGGGGACTTGACGGCAAGATCATAATGGCTGCGGCCAGCCCTGATCCAGCCAGGTTTCCGCAGCCTGCCCCCCGCCTCCCTGGCTGGTAGCTGCTGGGGCAGGCGGGCTTCCCAGAACACGGCAGGCAGCCAATGGAGGGGCCAGCAGGTGCCCCGAGGGGAGAAAGGGGCCCGGGCCCGCCCCCCGCGGCAGGACGGGGCTGATTGGGGGGCCGGCGGGCAGTCCGGGGAGGAGGGAAGGGGCCAGGCCGGCAGCGGGGCTGCCTGGCCTGGCCTGGCCGAGATGGGGTGCCGGGGCCAGGGCCCGCCACTTCCTCACTGACCGGAAAAAAAAGAGAAGGTTCCTGGGTGTAATAAATGTATTAAATTCGTGCCCATATAAATATGATAAATACATTTGTCCTTAGGGAAATATATATCAAATCACGCTTTAGAATATGTTACAGAAAGCATCCAGGTTTTTAGAAATCTCACACAAGGGTTAGGAAATTGGTTACCTCACTAGATTGTAGCACACACAGGTGTTCACTGAATAAGAGTCCAAATTAGCAAGTGAAGGGAGTAGCTCCTATGGAAATTCTGAGCGAGTTTCAGAGGAGAGCTCAAGCCATCATCGGCCAATAACGACCGAGGACAGCTCTGGACTAGCATGTGAATGCTCAGTTCCCGTAACTCAAACTTTATATGTGTAACTCAAACTTTATATGTATCATTTCCCAGACGCAGCATTGTTTGACCCAAGGCAGCTTTGTCCGAGCAGGAGACAGGATTCCTCCAACACCTGACGGAGGACAGAGGACTACATGAATATTTGAATCCTTCCCCAGACACTGTTCTGTCTACTCGAAGATAAAATTCTTCTAGCACCTGACAGGGGATGAGGACCGCATGAATATTCGGAGAAAGAAACAAAAACAGTATATAACCATGACCTCCCTATTTCCTCTTCTGGGTTTATCTCTTGGAATATTTTCAGATCCTTTTTTAGGTGAGGGCATTCCCTCTTATAGTGTCCCTCTTCCACACAACAAAACCAGGCATTTTTAGATTGCTCCTGTGATTTTGATCATGCTGGGATTCTTTTTCTTCCCTTTTCCCTTTCTCTAAAACCCAAATGTTTGGAAGTGGTACTTGTGGGATTTAGATTCCTCTGGAAGTTACTTTGTCTCATAGTGGCTATCATAATCTTTGCATCTACTTTGGCTTTTTCTTCATCTCTCCACTTGTAAACGCTTTGAGCTTCTTTTAACAGGTCATTTAAGGGTTTATCATGCCAGTCCTCCATCTTTTCCAGCTTTTTTCTAATATCTGGCCAGGCATGAGTGACAAAATTAACTCGCAATAGGGCTTGCCCTGCTGTGATCTTAGGGTCACTTCCAGAGTATTGTTTCTGTCTTGGTTCAGAGCAAATTTGGGAGATAACCCCCAAATGGGGCTCCTCTAGAAAAGCAGATTCAATTGGCCCCTCCCCCCAACTGGTTCGGGAGAAAATATCTCCTTGGAGAAAAGTGGAAAGAAACTTGTTTATTAAACAATAGAACCCAAACAATATTAAACAATAAAACCTCTTGCTGCTCCAAAAAGAGATGGCAAACTCAGATAAGTCCCCTCCCCGGGTTGCAGCTTGGCTCACTCAGTCTCTTATCAGTCCCTCTGGTGCTGGAAATGCAGCGGCCCAGGCCCAGCCCGGTGGGCCACAGGTGGAGCTGCCAGTGCTCTTCTGGGTGTTCAGTCCAGAGCAGGTTTGAACAGGTCCAAGAAAAAGAAAAACCACAGTCCAGGGAACTTCTTTGCCTCAGCTAGCTAAAACTAACTAAAAGCAAAGGAGAGCTCTGTCCTGCTGTCTGTCCATCCGCAGACAACAACAGTCCAGGGGCAGGAATGTGGAGGAGTGAGTGCAGTGTCTGAAAACAAACTGCACGCTTCTTCCCTCCCCCCTTCACTCTCTGGAACAAGACTTAAAGGTGTAAAACTTATTATTCAGTATAAACAGAACAAGACGACTGGGGATAAAAGCATCATATAGTCAACCCTGGACAGTTTCATATTCATTCAGAGCCTCTCTAACCACTCACTTGGGGTCTCTTCTTTTCCCTGTTGTCCCTCGAAAACTTTTCTGACATTTTGCCTTCAGGCTGCTGCCTCTTTTATTCCTCTGATTATCAGATTACAATAATCATTCATATATCCTGGCCCTGCCTCTTCATTTTGGTTCCAGTTAGGAGATGCTGTTGGCATTTTCTGATCCTCTGGTGGACCTTGCTGATTCTCCCTTTCCCAAATTCTCATTCCAGCAGCTCTAATCATCTGCCCCTCCTCTTGGGAAAATATTATTTTCATTATTGACTGAATTTCTTCCCAAGTAAAAATGTTGGGACCTAAGAATTTATCTAATTGTTCAGCTGTACCTATGGGATCTTCCAATAATCCTTTAATCTCTCTTTTAAAATTTCTGACTTGCTGAAGCCTGCGGGCTTCTGGGGGCTCCGTGGAGTCGGCTCGGCCGGCCCCGCCCCGCCCCACGCCGCGGAGGCGGCGGGGCGGGGAGGAACCGCCCTCCCTTTTGTGCCTTGCCGGCGCTCGGGGGCTGTGGGGAGCCCCTGGATCAGTCTCCGCCTCTGTTTGAGTCTCATTCAGTGACAACACTTTGTCCGAATTGCGGCGTTTCCACGAAATTCCCCCTGGGCGCGGCGGGAGCGGGTTCGTCCGCTTCTGAGTTGGTCTCGTCTTCGGGGGGGGACGGCTTCTCCCCTTTCTGAGTCTGTGCAGCCTGCCGGGCATGCGCAGGTGGTGGAAGCTGCCGGAGGCGGGGCGTTGGTCGGTGTTCCGTCAGGCCCCGCCACGGTGGGCGGGCTGCTCGGCCTGCTCCGCTCGGCGGGGGCGGTGCCCGCTGTGGACTCTCGCGTCATGGGCTGGACACTCATCAGGGTTGTTCCGGACGCCCTTGTGTCGCCCCACAGTGACGTGCTCCACAAGCCGCCTCTCTCTCTGCGCCCCACTCCTCCCCCGTGCCGGAGGAGGGTGGCGCCGCGCAGGTCTCATTCCTGTCTGTGCCGGGTTTGCGACCCGTGCCGGCGCCCTCTGCCCGTGCCGCGGCGGACAGCACTGCCGGGCTGCCGGCTGGTTCGGCCCCGCTGCTCCCGCCTTCCGCAGATGCCGGGGCTGCAGCACGACAGGGTGCTGAGGTGTTCACCTTTAGCGCGATTGCTGACGCGGTCGGCGGGAGACAGGTGGGTTCAAGGGGCCCTGTACGCTCCTTGTCGGCTTTGTGGACACTTCCCCCATGCCAGGTGACCGTGCATCCGAAGGAACACAGGCGATTCTGGCGAGAAGTCCAAGCTAAGGTCGAGGAGATGGTTGAGTCTGCCTTCACACAGCGTCTGAAGGGTTGCAGAGAAGGCTCCTCTGGCCCTGCTAATGCTGCAGGGGGCGGGGTGTCGAGTGGTGTTGAGCTGCCTCCCAGTCAGGCATCTGCCTCTGTCTCTGTGGGGCCCACGGGATGGGACTTGGCAGGTGCTGCAACCTTACCAGGGGGTCCCCAGGCTTTCCCTGTGCTCAGGGGTGTTACTCATAACACCCATCAACCTATATAGTTTAAGACTGCGAAGGAACTCCATGATGTGGTTGTGCAACATGGTCTGGGGTCTGCTGAAGTCACGCAGATGCTTCGAGTGATTGCTGCTGATGCGCTGGCACCTCACGACATCCGTGCTATGGCACGTGTCATTTTTCTGCCTGTGGAATTCGACGTTTTTGAGTCTAAATGGGCTTGGTTAGCAGCCAGGGCAGTGGAGCAGAACTCTATGCTGGGTCTGCAGGATCCCAGGCATGTGATTGGCACTGATATGCTGTTGGGCACAGGCAATTATGTTGATCCTCAGGGGCAAGCTGGCTTCGATCCCCTCGTGCTTGACCAGTGCCAGACAATAGGCATTGCAGTGATGGTTTGGACCCTAGAAATGACTGCTCCGAAGCAGCCATTTGCGACTGTTGTCCAGGGGGCTAGTGAGCCTTTCATGAAATTTGCAGGGAGGCCGACTGCCTCTGTGGAGAGGCAGGTGGCCAATCCTGAGGCAAGGAGACTTGTGATTGCAAACCTTGCGAGAAGTAACTGCAATGACGATTGTAAGAGGATCATAGAGGCTCTTCCTGGTGATCCTACTGTCTCGCAGATGGCGGAGACCTGTGCAAACATAGGACCCTCAGGTAAGAAGATGGCTGCCTTGGCTACTGCTGTGCAGCTGGTCTGGGCAGTGCCATAGGGCAGGCAGCAACAGCAGGGGAATGCTCAGGCCAGCAAGAAACGGGGAAAGAAAGCACAGAAGGTCAAAACTCCCGTTTTTGTGTGGTCAGTGTGGAAGGCCGAACCATATGGTAAATGTCTGCAAGGCGACTGTTCATGTTAATGGCCAAGCTTTGTCGGGCTTGGGAAACGGGAAGCGAAGTGCAAAGGGGAGAAGCGCCCAGACACAAGCTTTTCTCCAGACCCCAGAGCCAGTGGAGGTTTGCTTTGCGAGCTTGCAACCAGCACCCGTGGCTCCGCAGGTGTTGATGTCTGCACAGCAGCAACAGTTGTTTTAGAATCTTGCCAAATACACGGTTCCCCTGGATGCCTTTGGTCCCTTGGGTGAGGGCATGAGTGCTCTCCTTATGGGGAGATCTAGGGCCACCCTTCAGGACATCATTGTGCACCTGGGGCTCATTGATGCAGATTTCACAGGGCAGATTTCTGCCATGGTCTCCACACCCACCCCCCCGGTCACTATCCCGAAAGGGATGCAAATTGCTCAACTTGTGCCTTTTAAGTCCTCTGTTCGCAGGACAGCTGACTGGTCACGTGGAGCTGGTGGCTTTGGATCCACTGGGCTGCCTCAAGTTCACTGGACCGCTGTCCTGACCAAAGAATGTCTCAAGATGATGTGTACCCTGTCCATCCCTGGTGCGACGCTGTCGGAGATCCGCCTCTGCGGGCTTCTCGACAGCAACACAGACGTCACAGTTCTCTCCCTTGCCGCCTGGACCCTGGACTGGCCCCTGAATCCAGTGGAGACACCTGTCACAGGATTGGGAGGAACGGCGCAATGTTACGTGAGCCAGTGGCCCGTGCTGGTCGCAAACTCAGAGGGACAGACAGCCTTGATTAGGCCTCATGTTACTTCTACTCCTGCTTACCTCTGGGGGAGGGATGTTCTGTCCGCGTGGAGGGTGCACATTGGGACAGGTTTTTGATGGGGGCCACTGTGATGAAGGGCACAGAGTGTCCTATGCCTCCTATACGGTGGCTGGTAGACAAACCTGTCTGGGAGAACCAGTGGTCCCTCCCTCAAGATATATTGGTCGCCCTTCAAAATCTGGTGCAGAAGCAGTTGGACCAGGGTCATCTGGAGCCTTCTACCAGTCCCTGGAACACTCCTGTCTTCTGCATCAAGAAAAAATCTGGGAAATGGAAGTTGTTACAAGACCTCCGAAAGGTCAATGCTGTGATGGAAAGCATGGGAACATTGCAGGTGGGAATGCCATCGCCTACCATGCTTCCTGCAGACTGGCCAGTCCTCATCGTGGATTTGAAGGATTGTTTTTTTACAATTCCTTTGCATCCCGATGACAGACCAAAATTTGCCTTCTTGGTGCCAGCAATTAACAACACTGAGCCCGCACAGAGATATCAATGGAAGGTTTTTCCCCAAGGAATGAGAAATTCCCCAGCCATATGCCAATGGTATGTGGCCTGTGCCTTGTCTGGAGTTCGCAAGCAGTTTCCTGATGCACGTCTGTATCATTATATGGATGACATTTTGGTGGCTGCATCCACCCAGGATGAGCTGCTGAGGATTCAGCCTCAGTTGCTCGATGCTTTGCATTCTCATGGACTGCAGGTGGCTCCAGAAAAGGTTCAACAACAACCTCCTTGCAAGTATTTGGGGGTCAAAATTCTGGAACGGACAATCCGACACCAGGAGGTGTAATTTGTGCATTCGATGAAGACACTGAATGATGCTCAGAAATTGGTAGGTGTCATCACCTGGTTACATCCGTACTTGGGACTAACCGACGCACAACTGTCTCCTCTGTATGATTTGTTGAAAGGAGACTGATCTAAAGTCGCCTCGCACATTGACCTCTGAGGCACATCAGGTGCTGGAGGTGGTTCAGCGAGCTGTTTCTGCTTGCCAAGTTTATCGCATTGATCCCTCCGTTGACGTCACTGTGTTCATTACCACTCCAGATTCGCATCCCACAGGCATCATTGGCCAATGGAGTGACAAATGGTCCGATTCCTTGCACATCTTGGAATGGGTTTTCCTGCCCCATCAGCTGCAGAAGACAGCAACCGCACTCTTTGAGCTTATTGCTCGCTTGATAATCCAATGCCGGCAAAGGTGTTTGCAATTGATGGGTGCGGATCCCGCAAAGATCATACTCCCAGTGCAGCGGGAGGATTTTGACTGGAGCTTTGCAAACAGTGTGTTCCTGCAAAGTGCTCTGGAAAACTTTTCAGGGCAGATCACTTATCATCTGCCCAGCCATAGGCTACTGCATATGGCAAAATTCACACAAATCTCTTTGCAGCCCAAAAATAGTCAGGAACCAGCGCAAGGACCCACTGTCTTCACTGACAGTTTGGGGAAAACAGGAAAGGCCATTGTTACTTGGAGGGATGGATCTGAGTGGCAGGTTCTGGAAGGTCATGAGGATAGGTCAGCCCAATTGGTCGAATTGAAGACTGCTGTCATGGCATTTGAGAAATTTTCCCAGGAACCTTTCAGTTTGGTCACGGATTCCGCCTATGTGGCCGACATCGCACAGCAGGTGGATCATTCATTTTTGAAGGAGGTCAGTAATCCTGCCTTGTTTAATTTACTGAAGACCTTGTGGTATGCCATTCAGGCCCGGGTTCATCTGTTCTACGTTCTGCATGTAAGGAGTCACACCTCTTTGCCAGGCTTTATAGTGGAAGGTAACGCGAGGGCTGACAAGTTGGCTAACCCAGCGTGGGTAGCACCTCAGCCTGATACACTCGCGCAGGCCAAGGCATCACATGGGTTTTTCCACCAAAACGCACATACCCTGCAGAAGCAGTTTCAGCTGACGCCAACTGAGGCTCGTGACATTGTCGAGTCGTGTGACGACTGCCACGCGCTTGCTCCGCCTTTGCCGGCAGGGGTAAACCCCAGAGGCCTTAGGGCCTTGGAGCTTTGGCAGACCAATGTCACCCAGATTGCCGAGTTTGGCCGGCTCAAGTATGTGCATGTCACGGTGGACACGTTCTCCTCTGCGATGTGGGCTTCTGCTCACACTGGAGAAAAGGCCCACGATGTCCTTGCCCACTGGAGGCAGGCCTTTGCTGTTCTGGGCATACCTTCTCCTGTGAAAACCGACAATGGTCCCGCTTAAGCATCGCAAAAGGTGCAGCAGTTCCTGCAGTTGTGGGGTGTGTCATGCAGGTTTGGTATACCTCATTCTCCAACTGGTCAAGCTATTGTAGAATGGACTTACGGTACTCTGAAGCGGGTTCTTCAAAAACAAAAATGGGGAATGCAGGGTGAAACCCCGCACAGTCGGTTGGCAAAAGCTTTGTACACCATCAGTCGTCTTACGGTGCTGCAGAACTCAAATAATCCTGTCATTTTGAATCATCATCTCTCGTTGCAGGCTGCGGACGAGGCACTTCAGCCTCGAGCGAAGGTTCAGGTGCGGAATTTAGTCACCAAACAGTGGGAAGGTCCCTATGACCTTATCGCTTCGGGGAGTGGGTACGCGTGCGTATCCACAGATACTGGGGTACGCTGGATACCTTCAAAGTGTGTTCTCCCTGACCTGTGACCGCAGAGACAGAATGTGGCTGATAGGCAAAATGGAAACCGTGACCAAGCTGAAAGGCATCAAGTGGGTGAATCATTGAGTGATGACTCAGACGCAGACGACGCGAGTGATCACTCCAATGATTCCTCCACAAATGGACACTGAACATTGTTCAGTTTTCTTATTCACATTGTTCATTTTTCTTTCTTTTTTCTTTTTTTAAAAATGGGAAAGTGTGAGATGTCGCCCTGATTTTTTAAGTTTTCTAAGCCTTCTGATGTTTACATTCTTGTAACGAACTTTCTCACGCACTATGTAAATAACTTATTGTTTTACATTCTTTTATGGAGGAGGAGAAATTTGATGGACTGTTGGTTTGTCCAGTGTCATTGGAGAGGTGGCACTGTCACCCTCCAATCCACTGTAACTTTTGGAAATCTATAAATGTTGGAGTCAGATATTAAAAGCGAATTTTTTACCTTGGAAGAGCTGTGTGTCCGCGTCATGTTATTTCATATCCTATAGCAACACCTATCTAATCCACACCCCACACATT